CCATATATATATATTATCTTTTAAAAAATATTTTAATTTTAAAACTGGCTCTGTTACACATGAAAGTAATGGTGCTTTGTCTCAGCAGAGAATTTTCTAATTTCAATGTACCTTGCTACCACTAATAATGTTGTTGGATATAAATTGTAAGCATGGAATACTGTTTAACCATGTGGAACAAGTACCACCCAGGACTTGAATCCAAGATATTTACTCTTTACGAGAGGATTAAATTTTTAATCAACATATTGACTTTTTCTAAACATGTTTACATTTAGAGTCCTATAAATTGATACAATAGGTAGATGTGGGAAATGTTGTCTAGATCATTTGAATTATCTAAAACAGCCTTTTAATGTATCTTCACTGTTCTCAAACTGTATAAGCACTCATAGTAAGGATTCAAACTACAAATGCAAGCTCCATATAAGCAATAAAACTCTAAAAAGGCTGCCCTCAAGTTGATAATAACTTATAGCAACCCTATAGGGCAGGGTAGAACTGTCCCTATGAGTTTCCAAGACTGTAATGTTTTACAGCAGAAAGTTTCATCTTTCTCCCATGGTGGTCTTAAACTGCTGGCCTTGCAGTTAGCAGCCTTTGGGTAACCACTACCCCACCAAGGTTTCTTATAATTCTAACATTTATTAAGCCATTACTGTGTGCCTGACAACAAGGTTCAGCACTTTATTCACCTTATTTTTTTTTGAATAATATTTTCTTTATTTACAAGTTAGAATCAACAGACAAGGAGAAAGACAGTCCAAGGGGACCAAATGGGGAGATGACTGTCAAAACCCCAGGGATTCACCTTAACTTTTTGTAATTCTGAAACAATCCCATGAGGGAGATATATTACAAATCTAAAGATCTCAATGAATTTAAAATCTTAAAAATGTTAAATTTTAAGGACTACATTTCGTAATCCAATAATAAATCAAAACTTAATATTTCCGAATATAAGTAAGCAAAAATCTCTAGAAAGTTAGAAAACAGGAAATATTTGTCTAAATTACTAATGAATTAAAAAGAAACCTAAATTACCAAATCAGATTGTTTGGAAAACAAAACGAAAATGCTACATATCAAAAATCATGTCATAAATCTGGAGCTGTGTTCAGCAGTAAACTGACAACTTAAAATGACTTA